GCACGACTGTTGAAATTAAGTGTATTGCAAAGTTATATTCAGAAAGAATAAACCAGTTTTATTTAAGAAAGGACTTGTGTCGCTAAAGTTTCGTCGGAACGAATTTACGGAAAATTAACTAACGAACGGAGACGTAACAATACGTTTGGCTTTTTCAGTGATTACATTTAAATTTTTGGATTTCTGTTTGATATTAAACCAAATCAAAATGTATAACACAAACAACAAGTAAAATTGATTTACCTGTAGCGCTATTCAGTGATGATGTAGCAAAGTTAGGTGTGAAAGAAATTGAATTAACGGTTGAATTCTAACGTTTAGCTAGAATTCTCCGAGAAATATTTAAATACGACGCTCGTGGAGCGTTATGCTTTATTTATAAGCACCATACATGTCCAATAATTGTTGCATCCACCGAGAAAAGTTTTTCACAGTTCTAGTTAAAACCCATCGAAGATTGCTCGTTCCTGCAGCGTAAATACCTGCAAGTGAACTTAATTTAAGTTCTAGTAAAAAACAAAGATTAATATAACAAAGTTATATTTCTTTTAAAAAAATATTGAAATCGTGTGTTTTGATATTCATTTTACTAAGACTTTTTATTATTATTTTGTTTGAGCGATGTGTGTTACTACTCTAGAATAATTTTCTGGAGTTATTCATTGACACGTCTACTAATCAAATGACATGGATATCTCAGGATTTATTGAGTACAAAGAAAATACAATAGCAGAAGCCAAAATTCAACTGAAAGCTTTGATTTCTAAAAAGAAAAACACATTTGAATACAACGTGCGGGAAACATTATAAATCTACATTACAAAATATCCAGTCAAGGAGCTTTCCGCTGTTCACCAAAACTTAATTGTGTAATTTCAAAATTTTGCACGAAATCTCACAAAATACTTACGATCCATTAAACAGAGAAAAGGGGAGCAAAAATTATACTAAGCATGAACTTTAAGTCAAATATTGTTTCTTTATTCTTATATTTGTCTGCTTTTGTTTTGGCGAAAAAACATGAAAAATGACTGAAACAACACATACTTTTTACAAAAGTGCAATACAACACGAGAGTCAATATGTATAAATGTTTACATTATCTTATAACCCCCAAAAACAAAACAACAACAGTAAAGAGCTAAATATACTTAATTGTTGTAAATATGTATAAAACGTCGTGCTTTACACAGATAATTACTATAGTTTCGAGGCAAAAACTGTTGCATGACATTGAGACAAAATACATCAAACACTGATAATGGAAACAGACAACGTTTTTTTCAACGTTAAACACTTTATATTTCAAAGTTTCTATGAAAAATGAATAGCTATTAGAATAAGTTATCATCGAAAAGTGTTTACCAGTATTGTAGTTTCGAAATGTAAATTTCTTTCTGATACAAATGATGAACTTGTGTTTTTAATTATTCGTTAACTAAATACCACTAGAATTTATTGCTAACTACAAGTTATTGACAAAAGTATATATATATATCCAAATAAAAAAACAACGTTTCCAAAGTGATTATACATATCACAAGAACATGTATAACCCAAAAATGAAAATACAACGGATTTTATGCAAATATTCAAATAAAGCTGTTTATGTCACAATACTAATATAATTACTTATAAATCCATGTCAGCAGGGTATTACGAATTTCGGAAACTCTTTCTAGTACAAAATTTATAGTGAAAAAGTCAATAAAAGAGAGAAAAAGAAATATAATGCAAATTAATGGAGCACACTAATTATATAGATGAAAAGAAGACTGTTTCGTTATCTCCACACATCATATAACCAATTCCCTGTTCATTTTAATAAGTTTGAAGTGTGATTTTAGTGCTGTTATAGTAACGTCAGGTCTTATTGAGCGTGGTTTCAAACTGCTACCGAGCACAAAGCCTAATCTGTGCTGATATCGTGCACTCGTTTAGTTTGTGTTAACACTATACACAAAGTTTTGGTGTGTGTTAACATTATGCACTATATCCAGCTTATGTTGATGCTATGCAGAGTTTAGCTTGTGCAAAATTTGTGCACAAAGTCCAGTTTTGAACTTCCAGGAAACGTTAGTGCTTATATTGTGTGATGCTAACAGTTACGCAACAGTCATTTGACACAGCGTTTGTGCCCGACTCGTTTTGAAATGTGTATAACGAGATCGTGAAGTTTTAGGGAAACATAGTACACGTAAAAAATAAGGGAAAGAGATCTGTAAGTGACAATACATAACATAGATAAGATGAAACTACTTTTAAATATAACAAACGTAAACGTTGTTAATGACGTTGTCATTCATAAACGCATGCGGGAATCTTGGTTTTATATGGCACTTGTTATGGAAGTGTGCGATTACTCTAACAAGTGTGTTTTTTCATGCCATATTCCAAAAACTTTATTAAGAAGAAAATAAAACCTTACCAACTTTAGATATTGTGCAATGACGTTAAAAGACTCACATCTTCCAATGCATTGTAATTGTATACTAGGCCATATAAAAATGCAATTATTCTACTGTGTACATTTAAACAACAGACCTAAAACAGCAACGAGTAGACAACGGTAACAAGTATAGGCTAGTAGTAGTAGCCCTAAAATAATAACGAGTAGTGTGCCTAACAAGTGATAATTGTAACGCTATTACTCAATTGTTTAAAACGTTTGTAAACAGTAACCTATGAGCAACCTCATTTTGGTTCTTTTGATGATTAATAGGACATTACCAATATAAGAATTTAACTCCATGCTTGTCGCATAGACACAGAAAACTTTTAATTCCAGACCTTAAAGTTTGTCAAAGTTCTGTGCATATACGAAATGGGGGGAAGGTCTTTAATTGGAGTAGGTGAAGTGAATATATTTAAGCAAGCTGTAAATCGAAGAAAATAAGTTATTTTTTAACAACAATAAACATTACAATGATCTAAAATATGATTAGTATACTTACGTCTAATTAGTAATACGTTTTTAAAACTTAAGTATTATTATTATTATCATATTTTTTTTACAATAAAAATTAAAATAGTCATATATAATTAAAATATATAAGGAAATGTTGTATAAAACTCACTGGTGTGATAATAAATGACTTTCTTCCAAACAACTAACACATTTTTATATAATTTTCTAAACTTAATAGGGCTAGGTTTATGGCAAGTTTCTAAACGAATTAGTCCACATCATATTAACTCTGGACTTTTTGGTATAAACATTTTGTATCGAGAACTGAAACAAGTTGATTTTTGTGTGATAAGAAAGCATTTTAGTTTACATTAAATGACAATACCTATTCATATCACACCCAGATAATTGAAACACTCTTATTGACCTAGCTAGACTGTTGAATTGATATTACTAAAAACTGCAGTTCTCAGCAGTCAGGATGTAGGCTTTTTTATATAACGCTTTCATTTAATATTTGTTCTCACCACAAGGTGAACAACACTCTGGGCACCAGGTTTAGCGGGAAGGCTACACACGCTCGTTTCAACGAAATAATATAAAAGTATGGGTATTCCACTAAATTATACTCGCAGGCGTGTGAAAAAGACAAAATGAGTTGGTTTTTTTTCTTTGTTAAATATAAAGAGAAGGTAAAACGTTTTTTGCGTCCTTTAATTGCAACCTATTGAAATAACTTTTTCTTGTTAAGTTCTCATCGTAAAGTGTGAATTCAACAGCTAGGCCTTTGTGACGAATAATTATAAATAACTGCAAATAAAAAGAAACACGATAAGCGTAAACTTCTTTGAAAAGAAACAAATACAACGTATACAAATTGAAATTTATCTGTAAATGAATGACAAACTTAAAAGACCAATATTTTCGGTAAAAGAGTTAGCTGCCTACCAACATTTTTTAAAATATTTGTATTTATATGTTTCAATTTAACGTATCCTTTTGAAAGTCTTACTCCGATTTCTTGAACAAATTATTTACTTTCAACATAAAGGAAAGACCTCTTTGAAAATATATCATTCTTTCTTATTACATATTTATACCAATAATAGCAAAGGGTTTTTTCTAAGAGAAAGAAAGCCGAGGCAAAAATAATGGGAAGATCTAATAAGCCCCAAATTTAAACTTAATTAATGATACAAAAATATGAGATTGAAATACAATAACATGTATCCTTAATGTATATTAGTTGAATATGTGGTTTACAAAATTGCCTTAGTCCCATTTAGTTTCTTGCTAACCATATGAAAACTTACTTTTTCGTTATTTTTAAGAATAAATTTCGAGTTTCTTATACCTAAAACCGCCTTCATGTAACTCAGATGTGTAAGAAAGAAAAGTTATAACATTAGCAATCTTTATCATGGAATATTAGATGTAAGACAATAAGAAGGTATCCAACTTTGGAAGAAGTCTCAAAAGTAAAGTATGCAAAGCGATTAGACAGGTGTGCAAACGCCTTAGACACATTCAGTAGTTACAATTTATGTTTGTTATGAGCATCCAACAATTCACTCAAAGTTTCCACGAGTGTTTTCTACTATTAAAACAACTTTGTTATCAATATAGCTTAGTTTAGGCGAGAAGAAACTAAGCTTGTCATTTAACAATCTTTAATTCACATTTATCAGAATCTTTAAAACCTTGTGATCGAAACAACTCAAAGTAAACTATACATGAGCAGCCAATATGAAGTGTTGTAGTAGCTAAACCATCACATTTACCAATTAAAACTAATGGATGTCATTGTCAGGTGTCTCTTGTCACTAACATCATCTGTTCCTCTCTACACATCCATAAAGAATGGCTATTTTTTGTACTGCAAAATATAAATATATCAGAGTTAACTGTTAACTTAAAATAAAATGGTTAAAATTTCAGTAGATTATCACCAAAGAATTGTGTTTCTGCATAAAGAAGAAATAAAATTGAGTGAAATAGCTTTCCAAGGTGTGGTCTCTAAAGCATAATAAAAAAGTACAGAGAAACATTTTCTGTAACTGACAAATCCAGGACTGGAAGACCCTAAAAATGTCTGACAAGGATGAGCAATACTTGAATATAATATCTTTAAGAAATAAAATAGAAAGACAAGCTATCATAGAATTGACAACAGAACTGGCAAATGGCTCAGATGTCGTCGTCCATCCATCAATAGTATGAAGGTCACTTTTGAAATTAGGACTTAAAGGATGTATTGTAGTAAGAAAACCTCTGTTAAGAAAGTGGAACAAGATTAAAAGCTAAAATATGCACAAAAACACAGAAATCTTACTGTGTAACAATGGTCAAAGGTGCTTTGGACAGATGAGTCAAAGTTTCAGATACTTGGATCTAATTACAGACAGTATGTGAGACGACGAACAACTGAAACTTATACAGAACCTTGCTTGAAACCAACAATTAGGCATGATTGGGGTTCAATTCAAGTTTGGGGGGCGCATATCCTCAAGTAATGTTGGAAAATTGCTGAAATTGATTTTGCATTGACTGCAGCAAGGTGTAAACAAATTTTAATCCACTATGCTATCCCCAGTTATGCCAATTTCATCTTAAAGCAAGATAATGATCCAAAGCACTCGGCTGGATTAATTGAAATTTGGTTGCAAAAGAAAGAAGAAGCTGGAGTCCTTCAACAAATGGAATGGTCACCCTCACAGCCCCACGGAATGGTCTCCCTCACAGTCCAGATCTCAATATCATTGAAGCTGTAGAGGACTATCTGGATAAAGAAAAATTCAAAAAGAATTACTGCAAATTAGATGATCTTTGGAAGGCCTTGGAAAAAGCGTGGAACATCATTTCACAGGAGTTTATAACAAAAATATTTTGAATGGTTTTGAAGGAAAAGGGTGGATATACTTGCTACTAGTTATATTGTGTACAAATTTGGTTATTTGAATAATATTTTCTTTTGCACAAAGGTGAATTTGCATTAAACACAAACTTTTAATTTCCTTGTGCATTAATCTAGAAAAATGCATTGTTATAACCTGTGAGAAGTTCAGCGAAATGTGCAATCTAGACAACATATTTAAAAATTGAAGCTGTATTTGATTGTATTGCCGATTGGAGATATTTGTTATCCATAGCTATATGCAAATACGTGTTTTCTCATTAAACATGCAGTTAAATCTCCTATAACCTTGATTTTTTATAGTGCATCTAACATAAGTAGGGTATTTAAAATTGACGCAACTGGACACAAACTGTGTTTAGAACTAATACGATCTCTTCATAAGGTTTCAAAATATTACGTTAAAATAAACTATGTATCTGATATGCAGTACCTATTCCTGAAAAAGGGATGCAGCTGTGACGTCCACATATAAAGACATTTGTTACATTGCATGTTCCAATCTTACCACTGATACTACAATATGTGCTCGTTAGACAAATAAAATATATCCTTTTTCAATGAAATCTTAGTAAACTGAAAATGAATAACTTCTGATGTGTTTAAACGTTCTTCTAAACTAGCTTTGTTGAAATACATTGCGAAAATATCTACTTATGTTAACAATTCATCTAATAGTGTTGATTTTAACCAAAGGGTGGCGCGAGACTGGAAGAAGGCTTACCAAAAGGTTATGTTTACGTTTATAAATTAAAAGATGCAGGTTCACCTTTCAGTGCCATAGTACCTGGCAAATATGTGTTGATTGAAATAGAAAATACAAGGCAGACTCGTTACATTGAACATGCTAATTCTAATTTGTGAATGAATATTATATGAAAAGTTTTTATGCCAGGCACATTTTAACTCTTTCTACACATAATAACTACAACACGCACAAAAACAAGTGGCCATTTAGATACTAAACACGACATTCTACTTTGAACATATTGGCGCCCATATTTTAGGGAAAAAATCAAATCACCAAGAAGACACGTAATACACGTGTTACTACGCTAGTAACCACGACTACCCAGAAAAATCGGGACTCCATATAAAGTTCCGTTGTCATCTGTTTACGAGAAATCTTAATTTCATTCCAACCAATAGCTTTAAACCCGTTTCAGTTAATATTAATCGCGCATTCGATAGCTGCTTGCCCTGAATCAACCTTAAAGTACTGTACATGAAATAATTACTAGTTTAGATTTTTATTAGTGACAATGTAGAGAGAGAGAGAACAACTCGTAATTACTTCGAAACAGAAATGAGAAAAGTTGTAAGATAAGCGTTGTTTTCCCCAAGTAATTTATTAGATTAATAGGTTTTACGGTGAAGAATTAACACCTTTTATACAGAACACCAAATCACATGTTAAATAAACGTACATATTGGCTTAATATTTAGTTTGTATTTATTGTTTGAAGCAAAAAAATTCTATTGACTTTTATTCATAAACAGATCACACTGAGAAATGCCAATAACTTTCAAGACAAGCTTAAAATATACTTTATATAGTGGATATTTTAATCTAAATTTAGTTAGGAGTTTAACTACAAAATTTTGGGACAAGCTAGAGAATCTTATCATAGTTTAAATCGCAAAAATACGAGAGATAATAGAAGAAGAAGAGTGTGTTTTTTTTTCAAGATTTTTTCAAACTAACACTTTCTTACACATAACTAGACGTTCGCCCTTAAATATTGAAATATCCAGCTCACTGCTACCAGTTCGGAGTATAGCAATTTGAATGTCAGACGAAATAAAATTACATATTTCCGTTTTAAATCTGAGTCTCGCTGTTTTCGTCATATGCGCTAGTGCTGCCTCCAACCTTGTGTTTTGTGCTGTTGGCCTTATCGACGTGAGGGTGACTGCTCAGGCTTCCTCTAGCAGCCAGCGAGGGTTTTCGCAAGTGACCTGTCTCAGCCATTTCCATCTCCAATCGAGCATGCTCAGCGTCAATTTTCTCCAGCTCTCCCCTACATAAATGGTCGACAATTCCTGCACCAAAAGCATCGCCCAGAACGTTGATTGAGGTTCGAATTCGATCACTAGACAAGAAAAATATCAGTTAGAAATAAGCCGCGATTATTTTTTGTACTTAAGTATACTTTAAAGTATGCCTTACCCGTAATAAATATTATCGTATTAGTAAAAGTAATAAACCATTTAAAACACTATTATTTATTATTGCAAAGTTTACATTTGCAATAGTAAATAATTGTGGTTTAAATGCTATGTTACTTTTATCAATTAAATACCACAAGAAATACGAGTAAACCAATTGATATCATGTTGCAGAAAATTTTACAGCAAACAGTATTGAAGAAAAAGTCCCCCAGTGGCA